AAAGGCAAAAAAAGTGTTGTATGCGCTTCTTTGCTAAAACGATGGGAATACGAGGTCTCGGAGTGAAAATTTAATTGACATGGAAATCACAGATGGCGCAGGGGGTCCCTCCGCAGTCAATTGGGGCCCCAGAAGGCATGAATCCAGAGGATTTCTTGAGTTTTACTTCGATTTCTTTATAATTATTGTACGAAAACGACTGGTGGAGTATGCCATTTGGTACAATACACAATATAATTCGACCCAGCTGTTAATATAAAAACGAACGTCGGCAACGTAGGCATTTAGAAAAATTTTCTTTATCGACGTCGATCAAGTTCCTCGACGTGTTTCACTTCACCTTAAAACTCCATCCCTATGTTCCAATTTGGACGAGCTGTAAAAAACGCGGTTAATTGCGGGGATCTGATTAAACGTACAAGACCGCGCGTCGAAGTCTTGAAGACACCTGTTTTGAATGAAGCCTCCGAATGAGTGGGGGCCGATCTCTTCTTCCTTTTTCCCTTTAATCTATCACAGCGGCGAATCCGTACTTTAGTCGGGATTTACATTTGCAACGCGAAATGCAGCTCGGGCAATCTCTAAAGAGCGGGCACGCGGTTAATTGCGAGGAATCCGTTTCCATGAACAATGACGCGGCCCGTGCCGGCGTCTTCGAAACGCCACCTGTTTCGAATTTTAACGAGGCGGTGCTGCTCGGATATTGAAGGCCGGGCCTGAAAAACGCTTCGTTTCATTACCATCTTTTTTTTCCTCTTTTTTATTTTTTTTTTTTTCGGCCGGGGCCTCCCGACAGAATTCCCATTTATATTTCACGGCGCGCGCGTTTGCTCCGTCTATAAATATTGAAGTAACAGAGACCCGATGCCACGAGTGGTTGGCGTATGATTCATTGCCGGACAGTTTTCAGTTTTTCTCGATCCCGCTAATTTCTTCATATATTTCTTCCCCGGGCCGCGGATAACGCGCCCGGTCAAACTTTCATCGCGGGATAATAAATTCATGAAGCGCAATTTTCCAGTCCGCGCAATACCTCCGAGTACATTTGATCGCCGCAAATCGGGTTTGCCTGCCGAGGGAGTTATGACCCCTTTAAGTGGCGTGATAAAATTCGACAAACTCCCGTGACATTAGGAGATCGGAAAACCATTTACAGGAACGGATATGACGTGTACGGTACGCTAGAAGTGGACTGTTACTCTAAATTGCACATCTTTGCGTCGCGCCGTTATGGACCGTACTTAAAAGTGTCGTCATTTAATAATTCCCCGGTTTAATAATTTTATATGAACGAGTAAAAAAATGTAGCCTGCCATTTTTCCCCGCTACTTTGGCTGCGTGTTCTTGTCTGTATCACGATGAAACGCATTGGCTTAATATGAACTTAATTTGAGTAGGTGGATTGAGAAAGCTTTTCTCTCGCAATTTAGATTTCATGGAAATTCCCATAAGCTATCCACGGTTCTATCGCGACGATCTAAGCGTTTGTCGGTATTCAGGCAATTACAGGTAAATTCGTCCCCGACTCTATTAGGCTGGCTCTAATGGTTTTGCCTGTTACTATATCCTCTAATTAGACACATTTGTCATCGCGACGCCATTAACCCTGTGCTAAATCATCGAAACTTGCTCGAAACCGGACGTAAGTGACATCATGGTGCGAGCCATATCGTGATCCTACAAGGAGAAAACGTCCTATAGAGATTGTTATACAACGCGTAATAAACTGACATCATAATAATAGCAATACAATAATTATAACGGAATTTCTGAAATTTATAGTATCTACCCAAATGACCTATAACGAATTGAAACATTTCTTCCCAAGCGTTGCAATTCCCTCATACGCAAAAAAAAAAAGAATTTCAAGTTTCTCCATTAAAATGGAGTGTTCTAAAACAATGAGTACCCAAAATTCCGTCAACGGTGTAGCTAATGACTAAATTTTTTTTCTTTATTAAATCCTTAAAAATGAATATTGTCAGTGGCACTAAAAATATATTTTCCCCAATGAAGTAAGTCGGACCGAAGAGTGAGATCGATGGGATTTTTAGTTAAACTACACTTTTAAGTATAGGGGAAGGGAATTAATCCGATTCAATTAAGACGCGTTCGGCGATTCCGTTGAATGGAAACGATTTATCGAAAGATGAAACCTCCCATGGCCAGAGGGCATTTTTTTTCGAGGGAGATTTAAGAGCGTAGGTGACCGGCCACCATTTTGAAGGCGCACGTTTGCTGTCAATTCGGGTCGGGCCGCCATCAATTTTTCTCCATCCCTGGAACAAAGGAGGGAAAAAGTTCCACTTCAAAGGAAAAGGAGTATTTCTCCGGGACCAAAAGAGGAGGAATGCACCTCGCGTCACAAGGTATAATCGAGACGCTCGCCCGCGCATAAAATTTCTTTTGTCGTGGCCTCCCGGTCGAGGGAGGTACTCTAACATTGCGTTCTTGAACCATAATTGCAGTAATTACCCCCAAGTAAACTGTAACCTGTGCGGACGAGCACCTAACGTCGTGCTGGAATTTGCACGAATCCCTAGCACCGCCCTTGACGACGAGAAAAATTCTAGGGTCCCAGGGAACTATAAAGGGATACCCTTATTTTCTTAGAATTAATGTCATAGTACGCTAATTTAAGGGTCAAGGTTAAAGCTACAGTCGGGATGGCTTGAGCATTTCCCTCTGCAATTATACTCTTGCATAGAGAAATTAGTGGCTTTCCCCTAACCCTCCGTCAATTACCTCCAATGTAAAATGATTTAATAAGCGGACGTAAATTGACAATGACAAAATTAAAATGTAGGGTCGTCACGGGAAAATATAAGGGACAATGGCAATACCATTGGCCAAACAAAGGTTATTAACGTTCAAGTCTCTAAGCAATAATTTTTGTTTCCATCCATTATATTTTACCCCGGAAAGTGCAATTGTGAATTCCGCAAGAGCCGTGTTCAGATTGATCATTGTTTTTCTTCCATGTCGAGTCTGACTTATAAAAATGATAATTTATTCAATGTGTACCTTGGGCTTAAGATACCCATCTGAATTAGTTTTTAAGGGAAACCCTTACTTTTATTTCACAACAAAATATCCGCGTTCTTTCCCTCGCGAAATATCTTGTCCAATCATCAGGGCAAGTTCCATATACGTAGACATGATACATTCGTTCTCTCTTTTTATCTCATTGTATGCTAAGCAGCACGGTACAGTGAAATAGGTATAAGCGGTTTTTGCCCTGTCTTTTAAAACGGGCTTGGAAATAAAACACTCCCTGTGATATAAATATCTTGATCCCATAATTAAGAAAATCTCGGCAAGTACGGCTCGAGTATCTCCCTTGTGTACGGAATAAAAACGGTTTAGCGCACTTCCGGCGGTACCGAGCGAAAACTGAGGGATCTCGGTTGCAGCTCGGACCCCTCGTTTCCACGATCGACGTCCCAGGTCCCGAAGGATCCCACAGGATCCCACAGGATCCCACCGCGCAGGACTCGATCGGGCGGAACGATCGGTCGCGCGTTTCGACACGGATCTCCCTGTACCCTTTCGGATTCGTTCCATAGCGAGTCACGGCATATCGCAATCGCGCTTGTCGGGACCCGAGAAGAAGCTAAACGGCACTCGACAAACGCGGGCTACCAGGTCGAGAGAGAAACCTCCGGACGAGTCCGAACATCTGGTCTTGGCAGCGAGTGATGACCGTATCGCGGCGCAACTTCATCCTCGCCCTGTAAAAGGACTTCCAATTGCGAGAGCGTTTCGGATCGGTTAAATATAGGCAAAACCAAGTACAACGTGAATCCGCGAAACCATTCCCGAGCAAAAACTGGAGGAAAAAGGTCCGATCGCCGTGGAACATCCGGATTACGTTTAAAACCGAGGGAAGCGGTACGACGCCATCTTGGAATTCAGTGAAATTTTATGCAAGGTCCTCTGCGGCCGGGAAACAGAACTTTCGTCCCCTGGGCAGGATGCGGCAGGTATTTTGGAACCTTCCTTTATCCAGAAAATCTCGAAACGTTAGTTATACGCTGCTACACGTCGACCAGGCTCAGAAACGTTCGCGGTAGTTTCGGTGGCGTGCGGGACAAAGTGGGACGGCCCTTCTCGGCCAGTTCGTCGAAAGCGCGGCTCGCTTGAGTGCTTAGGCATCCGCCGAGCCGGTCTCGGCATTTTCTTTACAGCCTGTTTAGTGGCACGACATTTCGGCCCCGTGCAATTTGATACTTCGGTAATTATACGACGGATATTTTAATTACAGGTCGAGAAGAAATGATTCGCCGACATGCGACTCGCCTTCTCGGCTGGAGCCTTGGAAACGACCGAGGGAAACCCGGAGTTTTCACGGTCACGCGGAATGCCTGGCCAGGACTGGCCTTCAAATTGTAACGAAACCAAAGACACACCAATGACGCGACATAGACCCGCGTTCATATCCGCTCCAATGACAAAATAAAAATGAATTTCCTGACCGTCTCGCAGACCGTGGTCCAACCATCAAAATCAACAGTATACTTTGCATTTGACATAATCCATCGCATTAGCGATAAATAAACTGTATTTTTCATTACCTATTACATTGTTTTTGGTACTCGCGAAGAACAAACGAGGTGACAGTCAGCGATAGGAAGGAGTTAGGAGTGAGCTACCTAGTTGGCAGAAACGCTCAACCGCCATAGGAAATCTATCAACAAGGATAGTAGCTGTCCGAGAGCGACGTCGCGGGCCAAGGGTTAACCTCGTCGGCGCTCGACGGTCTCGGAGCATCGGTCGCATCCGCCGCTCGTCGTCGGTCTCGGTCGGCTGGAATTCGAAGTCACGTGGTAGCGAGACGCTCTCAGCGGAGCGAGTGGGGGGTCGACGCTGGCAGCGGAGGTGGGGCGGCACGACGGCGGCGGCGGCGGCGGTTAGAGGTCGAGTCGACGGTGGAGGGGATGTACGTTACCAGACAACACGCAGGAAGCGAGATCGTCGGCCGAGAACGCGGAGCGCTCTTCTCGGTCAGTCGCACTCTGAGAGCCGCGGAGTCGAGTCGAGGGTTGGTGCGCGCGTGCGCCGGAACCAGATCGTAGCGTCGCGTCCCGGAGTGCCGAGCTTTCTTATGGCGAGGTGGTGGCCGGCAAAGGAGGGCAAAGCAGAGTCAAGGATCCACCGTCGCCGTCGGCGCCGCGCGTAGGAGTCGTCTCCGGGTGCTCGGCGAAGCGGATCGCGCCGTCGGGGTGCGCGCCCGTCGAGGGAGGAACCATGAGCGCGTGACCGTGCGCGCGGCCGCGAGTCCATTGGCTTCTGGGTCCCCTAGGTCCGTCGGGTCTTCGGAAGGACCCCGGATTGCGTCGGAGACATGGACAACTTCGGTCCGTTGGCCGTCGCGGTCGCGCTGCTGGCAGCGGTGCTGTCCGCGCCGGACCAGACCGCCGGTCGCAGGCTCGGGAGTCCCGAGGCCCCCAGAGGTTGCGAGTGGCGCGCGGAGGAAGAGGGCACCGCTTTGGTGTGTCGGCTGCGGAGCTTCGGCGGCGCCGCCGCCCTCGTGGGCAACCTGACCGGCGAGCAGGCCGACGCCGTCACCTCGCTGGGCCTGGAGTGCGGCGACGTCCTCTTCTCCGAGAGCCGGTCGGACGAGGCGCGAGGTCTCGGCGCGCCGCTGCCGCGTCTCGAGCGGCTGCGCATCGACTCGTGCAAGATTCGCCACCTGCCGGGGGGCGCGTTCGCCTCGTTCCACGCGCTGCGCCGGCTGACCCTGAGAACCCGCAACGGCGATTGGTCTGCGATGGCCCTCGACGTCCACCCGGACGCGCTGCGCGGACTCGCCGAGCTGCGGCATCTGGACCTCGCCGAGAACAACCTGTGGACCGTGCCCCCCGAGCTCTTCTGTCCGCTGCAAAATCTGCGCAGCCTCAACCTCTCGCGCAACAAGTTACAGGACGTTGTGTCGTTGGGTTTCTCCGATTGGGGAGCCCCTTGCGCGAAGAAGCTCGAGGAATTGGATCTGAGCGGAAACGACCTGGGGGCCTTGCCCGAGAGGGCGCTCAGCGCCCTCGACGGGCTAACCACGCTCAGGCTTCAAGACAATGCCATCGCCGCGATCGGGGATCACGCTTTGGCCGGCCTGGGAAATCTCAGATCCCTCAACGTCTCCGGGAATCGGCTGGTGGCTCTACCCCCGGAGTTGTTCGCCAAGAGCACGGAACTGCGCGAACTCGTGCTCAGCAATAATTCCCTCGCCGTCTTGGCGCCGGGACTTTTCGAGGGCTTGGGGCAGCTCCGTTCGTTGGATCTCGGTAACAACGAACTTACCAGCCGCTGGGTGAATCGGGAGACGTTCGCCTCTCTCGAGCGCCTCGCCTCGCTCGATCTCTCCTTCAACTCGCTGACTAGAATAGACGGGAATATATTTAAAGGGCTGCACGATCTCAGGGTGCTGAAGTTGGAACACAATGAAATCGAGGCTCTGTCCGAGGGCTGTTTCGCGTCGCTACGGAACCTACACCTGCTGACGCTATCGTACAACGACATCGTCGGTCTCGATCCGAGCCATACCGTCGGTCTGGTTTCTCTCGGACAGCTCTTCATGGACGGGAATGGACTCCGGACGATCCATCCATTAACCTTTTCCAATGCCAGCAGTCTGCAAGACGTCTCGTTGAGCGGAAACGCTCTGACGGACGTGCCGGAAGCTCTTAGGGAATTGCGCTCGTTGAAGACCCTCGATCTCGGTAACAATCGCATCTCCGACATAGACGAGCGCTCGTTCGCCGGTCTGGACGAACTCTACGGTCTGCGATTGGTGGACAATAAATTGGAGAACGTCTCCAGAGCGGCCCTATCCACGTTGCCCGCGTTACAAGTTCTGAACCTCGCGAGCAACTCCATTCGCCACGTGGAGAACGGGGCGTTCACCGGAAACCCCGTATTACGTGCCGTAAGACTCGACGGGAATCAGCTGACCGAAATTCGCGGCATCTTCGACGGACTTACTACCCTAGTTTGGTTGAACGTCTCCGACAACAAGTTGCTCTGGTTTGACTATAGCCACCTTCCGCCCGGTCTCGAGTGGCTGGACATGCACTCCAATCAAGTTAGCGAACTCGGGAATTACCTCGCTGTGCGGGACGCGCTTCAGATCAAGATGTTGGACGCCAGTTACAATCTCATCGGCGAGATATCCTACGTGAACATCCCGGACGGCGTGGAGAATCTTTACTTGAATAACAACCGCATAAGCAACATCGCTGCCGGGACCTTTCAGAGGAAGAAGAACTTGAAGAAGGTCGTCCTGCGTGGCAACGAATTGGAGCACATCGATGTGGCGGCACTCGGACTGCAGTTGGTACCGGAGGGTCTCGAGGTTCCCACGTTCTACGTCGGCGACAATCCCATCCTCTGTGATTGCAGCATGGAGTGGCTGCCGAGGATAAACGAGCTCGCGAGGTCGCGGCAACATCCTCGCGTGGCGGACCTCGATGCCGTTACTTGCGAGATGGTTCACGGACGAGCCACTCCACGGCGACCTCTCCTCTCGTTGAAGTCCAAAGACTTCCTCTGTCGCTACGAGACCCACTGCTTCGCGCTGTGCCATTGCTGCGACTTCGATGCCTGCGACTGCGAAATGTCCTGCCCGGACAACTGTTCCTGTTACCACGACCACAGCTGGTCCAGCAACGTGGTCGATTGCTCGAACTCGGGTCACAGGCACGTTCCCGAGCGCATTCCAATGGATGCTACGGAGATTTACTTGGACGGGAACGTTCTGGGTGACCTGGGAAGTCACGTATTCATCGGGAAGCGTAGGCTGGAGGTGCTTTACCTGAATAATAGCGGCATAACCGCCGTCCACAACCGCACGTTCAACGGCGTCGGTTCCTTGAAGGTTCTGCACTTGGAAGACAATAGCCTGCGCGAGCTGAGGGGCTTCGAGTTCGATCATCTAGATCGAATGACCGAGCTCTATCTGGACCGCAATGCCATCGCGAAAGTTGGCAACAATACTTTCCACAATATGAAGAGCCTGGAGGTTTTGCGCCTCGATGGCAACAGGATCGCGGACTTCCGGCCCTGGGAGGCACTCGCCTCGACGAGAGCCAAGGTCTCCCTTGGAGGTAACGCATGGAATTGCGAGTGCAGCAACGCGGCGAAGCTAAGGACTTGGTTGTTGGAGAACCACGGCGATCCCGACGAGATGTTCTGCAAGGACGGCGCCGAAACTCTGTCGGAGGCGTTACAGCGGTGTGGCGACCCTACGACGGAGGCCATTAGTCGTGGCATCATCCCGGAGAATCCTGCGCTCGCTGGGAGTTTTGTCCCGCTCCTGGCCGGGGCACTGGTGGGCGTGATAGCCATCTGCCTCCTGGCGGCGCTAATCTTCGCTTTCCGCCAGGACATCCGCCTGTGGGCGCACTCCCGCTATGGGTTACGTCTCGGCAAAACCGTTCCCCCGTGCGACGAGGAACGCGACCGACTCTACGACGGCTACGTCGTCTACAGCAGCGGCGACGAGGACTTCGTGTCCAGATGTTTGGCAGCCGAGCTGGAGCAGACCGGACTGGCGCTCTGTCTGCATTGGCGGGATTTGCCTCCGGCCAGGCCTCAGGAAACCGTCCCTCCGGCGTTCGCAGCCGCGCGGCGCATCCTCATAGTCTTCTCCCCCGTGTTCCTGTCCGGCGAGTGGCAACACGCCGAGTTCCGGACTGCCTTGAGGAACGCCTTGGAGAGCCTGCGGCCGGGATCTCGCAGAAGGCGCGTCATCCTTTTGCTGGCGGTCGAGCCACCTGTCTGCGATCCGGAGTTGCAGCTTCTGCTGCGCACCTGCACCGTGCTCGTCTGGGGCGAGCGCAGGTTCTGGGAGAAGCTGCGCTTCGCGATGCCCGACTCGGCGGACCGCAGACGCAACGGGAAGAAGGTCTCCACCGAGCGGAATCGGCCCCCCGCGAGGTACATGGCCGCTCCCTCGGCCGCCGACGTCTGGACCAAGGGTAACGTCGGCGGGACCGTCACCGTCGCCCCGGTGCACGCACCTACGCCCACGCCGACGCAATCCACCTACGTCAGCTCCGCCTCCAGCAGGACCGAGGACGAGGACAGCGGCGTGGAGCAACAGCCGCACCATCATCACCATCATCACCATCACGGCTACAGTACGCTGCAGGGCTCCAGGAACCACTCTACGAACCTGCAGTCGAGAGCCAGTCAACATCTCTATAGTACCATCCCGGAGCCTCCACAGTTAGGGACGCAACCCGTGGTCAGCTCGCCCCTCCCGGCTGTTCCTCGTACTTACTTTGTCTAGCCGAAGCTCGATAAGCACCCTGGATAATTTGCTGGGCACGGAGCATCCGGTCTACGAGCTGGACCTGCAGATCGTCCCGCGGAGCGGTGTGTACCTTGCAAGCCTCGAGCGAGGTTCTGGGAAAAGCTGAGCCTCGCCATTAGCCTAGCTCGACAAAGGCAATGTTAATTCGGCCGTTGTGCCCATCTTGGCTCATGCATCTACGTCTGGAACAACGACTACGTGGAGGGCGATCATCGTCGCTGCGGCGTGAGCACCGCGAAATCCACGCCAACGCGATCCACCCCTGTCAGGACCAAAGGTCCCGTTCCAGCGACGTCGGGCATCCTCTGTGTCGTCGTCCTCGTCGTGATTACGACACGCTGCAGGGCCCCGGGAACAACCGTAGAGACCTACCGTTGAGAATTAGTCAACGTCTTTGCGGTACCATTCTTGAGCGTCGACAACCCACGTTGTAACCTGCAGTCGCCAAGCTCCGCAGGTGGCTTCTCGTGCTAACTATGTGCTGTCCGAGACCAAGGAGGACGCTGGACGCTTTGATAGACATGCAGCGTCGAGACTGCACCTCCAGGATTCCGAGACGAGGCGGATTTCGTCCTCGTCCGCGTAATCTCTTACTGTGATCGAGTTGACGTCGGTCGATCACGTCGCCGGCAGGCCTCGCGTAGAGGACAGTATTTAGCGACAACACTATCATTACTACCATCCTTGTAGTTAAGGCGTGGTGCAGGCCAATGGAACCACTCGACAGAGCTTTGGTCCAGCGCTGGGAGGCGGTGCATCTTTATCCCTTCGAGGTCCTTCGGGTACACGGTGCATCGCTGATCTGCCACTCCGGGGGGATTGAAATTAGATTAAATTAATCTACCATGGGCCGACTAGCTGAGGAATTGCGACCGAGCCTCTCCGAATGAATCAAAAGTTAGAAAGCAGAGCTATATTCTTATCTACTTCCCGAGGATCGCGGAGATCACCGAATCGCCGATTCCTGGGTGACGTGCAGAGGAAACGGGCCGTGCCTCTCGGCACTAACTTTGTTCCGTGAAGGCTCTTTTTTTTATCCGGATCTCTTGGGTTTATCGTTTTAGAGGCCAGGTCGAAAGGTTTTGTTCACGTCCTGGCCAAGAGAAATCAGGACTGCACCCGGAGATGAGTTCGGTGCAGGGCGACCTAGGGAATCCGTAGACGTTCTTGTTCGTTCTTACGAGTTTTAATATCGACAAATGGACTCTGGAATCGGGTCCCTGATCCTAAGTCGCGCGTTTAGTTCAATTGTACCCGGTCCGTTGTGTATTTTAATTTGTAGATTGGTACGTTGCGCCGATCGTTTCCTGTACTTATTTCGTCCAGACTCTAGTTCGAGCTTTACGGGGCTGCGTCTTCCTTCCGTCGTGCAAGGGAACGGAACTCGGCCTGGAATCCGAGCCCAGGGTGCCACGATTTGGCCCCAGTGAAGGAGCAATCGATAGGCGGATTCGTTCTCGGCAAATACCGTCGCCAGCTCCAATTTCGTCGGGGGCGATTAGCATGATTAGCGTGATTAGCGCGAATCGCGGAATTCTCGCGACTCGCGGGGCCTCGGGGGTTCTCTCGTTCCCGGTTCCCGGCAAGACTTCGTTCCTACAGACTGCTTTTGGCCGTCCCGGAACGGCCCTCTTAACGCTTACTAGCTCGTAAGGAATGCCTTGTAAATATTGTACATCTGCTCCTGTAAATAGGATCGCGGACCGCCGCGCCAGGACGAGCCGTATCGGCGACTCCGTAGACGTTAAGTGCGCCCTAGGAATAAATTATTGTGTCGCATCGTTGTAAATACGCCCCGTCGAAGTTAACGACGCATTTTATCACCGTTTACTGTATTACTAAATTAATTAACGATTTAGTGCCGCGGAGGCGAACCTCGACGAATAAAAGACGTTCCTTTTATACGAAACACTGAGTCGAATTACTACCCCCGACCCTGGGACTTGCATTTCCGGAAATGGGTTTTTAAGAGGGAGTACCTGCACCGAGAGGTGTCCAGTTTAAAGTAAATCATCGATTATCAGCCCCTTATTGGATTAAAAATCATGAAACTATATTGAAAGATGAGTGTCTTACAGTAACCTTAAGGATGGCATAATTGAAAATCCCGGGTGGGATTAGGTAAACCTGCGAAATAGTTACTTGTTTTTAAATGCAGGTCGAAGTGCAGCGGAAACGCGCGAAAGGATGACGGAAATTAGTGGTGAGAAAAAATCCGCGAGGAAAATTGTCTGTCCATTGTTCCGATTGACGGGCGGGTTACGCGACCAGTTATCGAGGAAATTGATAACGCCGGGTGTATAGGAATATGCTAACAATGGCCGATGAGTCACCGTTCAGAAACGATTCTAAGTAGTTTTAATGAATGCGCGAATCTTTAATGCTACCGTGGGCCAGTTTTTCCCTCGGCCTTAAGCGAACGCTTTAAAACAAATCGTCGGCTTTACCGCTCGAATTTGCATACGTTAAGCTGCGGCTTTGTTGTACATCCGCTTAATGGAAGAGCTTCGCCGAAAGGAGAATAACGAAACCCTTGGGTTCGGCCGTTAAATGTAAAACCATCCCATTTTCCCGCAAGTCGAGGACGCCGCTGGTGTCGATTGATCGTTTTTCAGTTCACATCCTCCCACGCCTGTAAAAGGCACATCCACGTGAAAGTTTCGCCTACTATTGATCGACTTAGAAGGCTAAATTAGGCGTGAAACTACTTACGCATTATTGATACTAAGGCGGATTAATGCAGATTATTCTACATACTAATAGGCTTCCGGAGATCGTCAAGGGAGGAAAATGCTGGGGACATTAATTATTTCAAGATCGCCGCAACCTGTGGTAACTGGGAACGATTAATATTCCATATATTCGGAGAATTTTCCGGATCCATACGCGAGAAAATGCGGGAAAATTGCGGACATTCGCGTAAAACAGAAAATCCTTTAAAATACCACCTCCGTTCGGGAATATAGCTCCTTTGTTCAAATGGACCTCGTTACACTTGCGGCAAGTCTAGAAACTCACTGAAATAAGAGCGAATTACTCGTCATCGAGCCATTCGTCGTCCAGTCACCTCGATGACTCGATGACGCGTTTTCCGCGAACGACCCTCCTCCTCCTCGATCATTTAACCCGGAGGATTTACAAGGAAACATTCCCAAGTGTCCGCCCCCGATCTTATTGATTTTCATACATGTTAAACAACACAAAAATCTAAGAGACACGTGTCTTTTTTATATCTGCAATGGCCCGCATTTAAGGGGTGAAACAACCCCCCAAAGTTTGGCAAACATTCGATTTGTATAATCATTTTCATAGAAGCAATGGAGGGATTTCAACGAAGCTTGGTATAAACGTATTCTGTATAAGGACGGTGAAAACACAATATTGTCCAGCAATGCTACAACCCCCCAAGGGGGTGAACTACCCTTCGGGCGACATTTTTTTTCTAATATCTATTAAACAAGCACTCCTAATTAAGTTCCACTTACGCCATATGATTGCTCACAAAAAATGAAGAAACACGTGTTTTTTGCTTTTTGCCAATAAACATTTACACATCGGTTGTAAACAATGAATGTAGGTGGTATACGGATATATTTCGACTAGCTACATTGGGTTATATCGTGACCAATTCATTGTACATAAATCTTGTGAACGTGCTAATTCCTCAAAATGTCGTTGGTTTTCATAACATGCAATTATTTATAAATAAATTTAAAATAAAGTTTAAGAGACTAA